GTTTGTCTTTTCTTATCTAACGCTTCTTTGTTCCCTGTGATGACCTAATATCAAAAACTTTTAGGTGGAACTCGATATATTTCCTGGCATTAAAATGAACTGCTTTGATGCGAAACAAATACCACCCTAATACTTTAATCATTTCCGTTTGCGTTGCAACAGCATTATACTAGCCATTTTCCTCATAAACGTGCAGTTCCATGAACTCAGTAATCCCAGCTTCAGACAATCGATCACCTACAAGAAAGGTGACTTTTTTCGGCCTCATTTGCATCAACTTCAACACTGACAGTAGGCAAATCTTAGTCTTATTCACGTTCTGTTTTTTGAACATTGTAAATTCATGAAGAGCTCTCCATGTTATATGATATCATTTTGAAGAATAAAGAATTCCTGCAAAAGTCATTCAGTTTGACATTCAAAGTGTCCATTTAGTAGTCTTTTCACACCGACAACACTTTAATACACTAATGAAGACTTTTCGATTTCTGAACTGACGTCTGAAACAATTGTGAAAGTGTTTCTGTATGTGGTCTAACATTAGGTGAACAATTTATTTATGAAGTCAGTTTACTTTCTTGGCAGTTCAGTGCGCAAAATCACAAAATCGAAAATGATGAGCCTTTTTCACCCCAGAGTTACCGCAGGCATGTTAATTAGTTTCTGTTACCTTCTATTCACTATTGGGTACATTAGGAATATCACTCTTACTCCCACTAATTTTGAATTACATATATGGGTACACCTGGAGTTACTTACTGAAGTTTACATGATCTGTTGGCAATCGCTTTATCTTCTCCAATCTGATGGATTTTCACGATCAGTCAAGGCTTAAGTATTCAGCTTTTTAGACATTCTTCCCTTAGAATGGCTCAATTTTTCGAACATCTTATTGATCCGATGTCTACCATAGTTTCTACACAGACAGAAATATTTAAAGTGCTGAGTGTTCACTACGCTGAATCACTGCAGCTAGATAGGGAAAACTAGACTAGGTTTTCATCATGTTCCTCACCACACTAGAAAACGTTTACCCATTGCTTCTCCTTTTGTTTCATTTTATCTCTAAACAGAACCGCCTCATTTTACAAAAAAACCAAATCCAGTTGAGTTTGTGAGAAATGGTGTACCAACAATTTTACATTGTCAGGCTAACGGTCAGCCTAAGCCTACAATCTTTTGGTTCTATGTAAGTTAAAAAATAATGCTGTGAATAATTTTTTTCGCCTGATATTTGTTGATTTATCCCTATGGTATGCCGAATGAAAACGGTTAACAACTGAGGTGTTAGTGGTGTCAACATCATGTCGATAATCCATTACGTGTTTCGTAACCAGACTCCGCTGGATTTTTGATTCGACTTGCCCTAACCATTTATGTAAATGCTCAATCATCCCAGTAAATATATATATATATATATATATATATATATATATAGTATTGTCATTTTGTTTGACAGTTTGTTTATACAATACAGCATCTTTTCCGGTTGACAACTGAGCTGGGTCACCGCGATTGCAAGTATTGGGTCTGAAATGTGTGAATGTAGATTCAGTCACTAACCTTTCTTTCCGTCTGTTCTTATTTTACTTCAGAGTGTTAGCACTGTTATAATCAATGGCATATATTTCATCTTACACATAGGCTATTTATGCCCTTTTTTCTAATTGTTTGTGTTATTTCGTTCCTGAAGGCTAACTCTTGCCTAGTCTTTGAGGCTTATACACTCTTATCCAAAATAATCTCCAAGTTTGATAACCTACGTAACTAAAGGGAAATTTCTTCTTATTGCTTCCAACTTAATTTCCTCATTCACTACTTTTGGTGTTCTTCACTTTTACGTTCGAATACTTTCTTCGATAAAGTTTACCGGATTATGGTTGTCCATCGATATTTTAAAGAAAATACTCATTTCTCAGCACTAGTCATCAGGACATTCGTTGTGTTGTAAGAACCTCCATTAGGCATTATTCCATTGATAGACAGACAAAATCAACGTAGAACGTCACACACAAGTGCATTAGTTCAAAGTCTTACACAATACGATAATACATAAAGAATATTTGGATAGAAAAAGAAGGATACTAAAATAAACAAAGTTATGTGAGAGTATAAAAAATTTGAAGATGAAGGTTAGTGTGAATATTCATGCTTTAAGTGATGTCTAGGAGTGAATACATATATGCCAATGCAACCGATTTTCACTTATGCCACCCAGGTAGCCTACATTTCTCAACATGTAATACACCAACAGTCAGTAACTTCATAGACTGGTGCCATGTCTTCGTCTTATCACCGTGAACCCTTTCCAATCTAACCCAGCTTCCTCTAGCATAGCAAGTCGAGGTAGGTGGTGACTCGACATGCGTCACCTTAGCCGATGAAGGTTTACAACCTCATCAATCGACTTGCCTATCTTACCTATTTCATTCAGATTGGATCACCCAAGTAGATATCTACTTTATTGTGTTGCTTTTCTACAAATAATCGCTTGTAAACGTTCATTGCTCATTGTCTTTATCTTACAGTCGAATGTAGGTAGTTCTTCAAATTCATTTATTCTTTCTTCTATATTGAATTTTATTCTAGTGACTTGATCATTTATGTGTTAAGAAAGTTGTTTCAGGTCATTTTTTTTCTATTATAACTGTGATGTTATCTACTTGCCTCAGCTACATTTTAATTGAGGACATAAATGGTATTTGAGCATTTCCCTCATAAATATCCCGGAACCTATCAGTTATTGCCTTGAAGTTTGGTGATCTCCTAGCTAGTCTTTCAGTTTATGAAGGTGTTGTTATCATACAGAGTTCTGCTGCTTTGAAGATATCTTCTTGCGATGAATATGTTTTGAAATGTTATTGTCACTATTTTAGTCGATAGTTTTGTGTACAATCTGTTGACACCGAAATAAATCAACTTTCTTTCTCCATTATTTTCATTTTCCTTTAGTATTGTAACTTATTTGAAGGATTAGACTGTTGTTGACTGTTGGCTGTGATCATAGTATGTTAGCGAACAAACGTAACATCTTATAAGCTGGTGAGTTTCCGAATTCTACAGTGAGTCTTACTGGAGATCCTTCTTCTCAACCGCATCGTATATCCTAGACGCAATGCATATCTTTCTAATAGTCTGAAACCTTTTGAACTTACTAGCTGTTGATTTTATTTGACTACTCGCCTTCACCGTTTCCTTCATAGCTTAATTCATGAAGGTGTCTTATGATTCATTTATTTTTCGAATGAGATCCTTGTAGTAAATGCTCATCCATAAGGTTCATAAACCAGGTTATTCCATTAGATCCATAGTTGACTTCAGAAATACCCCAACATATGAACACTAGCAAAGTACTTAGGGTCAATATTATGTCCTACTAGGAACCGTTCAAATTCCAGACTAGTAATCTCTTACGAATTGAAACTTGGGCTTAGTGACCTATACATAGAAGAGGATAAAAAATGGTTAGCTTCGATGTAACTAGTCTGTATACTAAAATACTAATCAATATGGCACTGGAGGCAATCAGAAGTCAACTAAATACTGACTCAGAACTTTCTCACAGAACTAAGATATCGGTTGATGAGAGAGATTATATTAGGCATACAGTTATGCCTGACCTCCACAATCTTCAAGTTTCAGAACAAAATATACAGAAAAACAGAAGGAGTAGCAGTAGGATCAACATTGCCCTTAATCGTAGCAGATATATTTATGGATAGTTGGGAAAACATGGCTTTACAAACGTTTAGTCCTGCATCAGAAATACGGTGGTGATATGTGGATGACACATTCACTGTATTGAAATCAGAACATATTGACAATTTCCCAACACATATATAAACTCAGTAGTAAGTGCAATCCAATTCACCTACGAGGAGGTAGAAAATGAACAAGGAGAATTACCCATGTTCGATTGCAGAATAAAACAAAGAACAGATAGTGGCTTGGATACTACTGTGAACAGAAAACCAACACATTCCAACAGGTAACTAGACTTCAAATCATCCCATCCAATGTCAGTTAAGGTAGGTCTAAATGATAGAGCCAGAAAACTGACTAGTCGGAGCAAGAACCTAAACAAGGAATTGAAACACATAAAAGAAGCGCTAATAGTTAATAATTATCCTCCACAGTTTATTAAGCAATTCTTACTGACACACAAAAACAAATAAATAACAGTCACACGGGTTCGACTAATAACAACAACACAAGTAGAAAGTTCAAAGCATCCATTTTGTTACCCTATAAGGAGGGTACCTCAGAAACTTTACATAGAATCCTCAACACAGCTGGAATTAGGATGGCATTTAAACCTACAAACTCACTCACAGATAAGGTTTATCGGCCTGCATAAGGATCCGATAGAACGAATTAAGCAAAGTAATCTAATCTATCAAATTCCATGTAATGACTGTGAGGCCAAGTATATAGGTCAGACTAGTCGGTCGGGGTCATTTGGAATAGCCGAATATACGAATTTAGCTAAATATAGAACAACAGACCTAAATAAGATCAATAACCTAGAAGGTGACTCGGCTACTGCTCTGCATGCATTAACACACAAACACACAATGGAGTGGGTAGGATAAAGCCACTGTACTTAAGTCCAATATAATTAGGTGGATAATAAGAGAGATTGATTACTGAATCTTTGTTCATCGAATCAACAATCAACACATGTAATAGAAACACCTATGTATACCCGAGATATGGAAAATTTTACTACCAATAAGAACAACTCATATAAAGTGACGTAACTATAAAAATCAAATGTCTAAAGCAGTGTGATTACACAATGATATGATTATGAGCAGTGAAAATTTATGCTAGAAACGTCATCAAGTAATTAATACTAGATCACTGTATGTTATAAATCAAATAAACAAATCTAATATGCGGAATTAAATTCTGTCACAGTGCCAAAGTTTCACACTTGTATGACTGTAAACTTTGTTTGTTAAAATAAACAATCTGTTTCAAAACGACTTTATTTTCTCATAACACTAGTTAATTTCTACAAAGTGACCATTTATTTCAAGCTGAAGCTTTTCAAATCATTATACATTTCACAACAGTGAATAAATTGTCTTCTAACTATACACTGATTGATCACTGATGGGTAACCAACTTCATTTTCTTTAGTCCTAAGTGTTGTTATGATTTTATCAATCATTTTACAAACTGGTCACTAGTCGATGAAACCCACCCTTACAATGCACTGGCTAGATCACTGGAATTTAATCAATACTGAGGACTAAAGTTGGTTCCACTCCAATGACTAATCAATTTACTACATGTTATCTTAAAAGAGGTCAATCCCCGCCCTAATGGCTCACTGGTAACATCTCTGACCACAAGACTGGTTGACGCGATTTTGAATCGCAGGCGGAATATCAGTTCCCACAAGTTTGCAGAAACACCTTGCAAATGAATGCCAAATATCATGAAATCTAGGTCACAAAGGTCTTCCTACTGATTTGATCCGTCTAGCTAATACATTAACTTTGTTCCACAGACATACTGTGCGTTTCATTTCTTTTTCCTATCACTTACTATACATTATACAAATGATGTAGAAACGAAACCCAAACAACCAGTAACGGAAATAAATTTTAACCACAGAAGCTAAAAGAAAGTGACACAATCCTACTCTGTTGCTTCAATGAACTACCCAGGATCCTTTTGAATATCTAATTAATCTTTGTGTTAGTAAACTTTTCTTTTCTTCACTGTGTTATCTTCGTTGGTGTAACTGGTACCTTGTAAATGAATTTCAGCTTTATCTTTGGAAATATCTATGTGTACATCTTCAATCTTCTCATCATTACTTCTATGGGTTATATCAAATGACCAACAACAATTACGTTAATATTGGGAAGTGTACTGCTATTTTTATGTCTATGAAGAGAAGTTCAGGGATGTTAACATACAAAATTATTTCCTTCATCTAACTGATGGGTATTTGTTAGCTACTTGACTGAATTCACTGCTGAGATATAATCTTTTTTTCTTACCTAATTAATCTAGAGTCAATCAAATAATCAGGAAGGAGAATGGCCAAGTTTTGATGTCCTATCAGCTTTAGATGATCAAAAGAAGATAGACAAAATGGTAGTGAAATCCATCGACGACGAAGATGAAGAAATTAACGACGAAGAGGATCTTGGAAAGGGGAGTGAATACAGTTGGAATGATACATTTTACATTACTGATAAGTATATCAAGCATATATTAGAAAAGTATAGAATAACTACAAAACGAAAATCTATCAGTAACAGTTTGCCTAATGGTGTAGATAAACTACCAGATGGGAATCTTCATATTTTCACAGAAAATGTATCCAAAATTACTGGAAAGTATTTTTGTGTTGCTGAAAATTTGATTGGTCGCATTATGACACTAGTGGAATTGAAGCAGAACTTTACAACAAGATTATTGAGTCAGACTGATAATACGATTGTCTTAAATGTTAAACCCTTTATATATTCTGCAGTTTTGTCATGGAAATTTGAACAACAGCTGTCTACTTTCAATTTACTAAATTATGTTAACACTGTTAACAGTCAGTGCTATTACATAACATACCATCTATCTGTTAGATCAGATGAAGATTGGATTGCAAGTGAGTTGAAGGCAATTGGCAGAAAGTTTTGATCCACTTAAGTTTTGTGCTTCTTAGCAATCACGGACAAAGGGTATTTGCACCTTATGGGAACTCATATTTCGCCTAGGACTCGAACCTGCATCTGTAGTACTCGTTTTAGCACTCACCTATCCGGACCAAGATTAACCTCCTGTAGGACTGTGTTAGATATATTGAATAACTACTGGGGAGCAACCAACTTTATGTTGTCTTGTCCCGAGTCCTGATAGAATTTTCTCGATCATTCTTGCAAGGTGGCCACCAAGCTAGGACGATGAGTATCACGGTGCACTTGGATATGTGATAGTTTGTTGAAGGTAATGCTCAGGACTCCCTGGACCTAGATTACTTACTTGTTGGTACTCGTCAGTCAGGAGTATCACTTGGAATACAACACCAAAGCGGAAAATTTAACCCGCTCAAAATAGTTTGAAAGCTGCATAATTACGCGTTGTTTATATTGTATGCAGAATATGAAGTTCCAATTCCCTAATAGGCTGATATGTCTTTTTAACACCAGTGAATTGTTCTTTTTGAGTAAGACGTTATTCTTTGTTTCAGTTTTAAACAGCAGGACTCAGAACTAGACAACATGAAACCGTAAATTAGGTTTTGTGCTTACTGATATCCATTAACTTGTAAATGTTTTAATCGGATACTCCTTCATGGATCTAACAATTACAAAGACCTTCGATTCGCTAATATTTGTTCATTAACTATTTCTGAGTAAATGTAGTTGTTCTGTAGTCAAATTATGGACTTCAACAATAGAATTCGGTCACAACTTTCAACTAAGCCACAGAGTAATGATGACTAACAAAATATCAGTTGTTGGTAATATACACACGTGACGAAGATCCTCTTAAGTGCTTAAAAACAATATTTTGTTGTTTCTCAGACATGTGTGAATGACTTATCAATAACCTCTTGGTACTCACCTATTCATTTTTGTAACCATTTGATCCAACTTCAGTCTTCATTTCCTTTAATAAAGTTAACAATGTTAAACACAAAGCAGGTATCATCAAAAAATTACTTAGAGTTTTGAAAAACCAAAACGAATTCATAGTATTGATGATGGATAGTGAACGATCAGTAGTGGAGTTCAAGACTCATATTTCGCTATATTTAAGACTGGTCAACTAGTTGCATTTGCCTCTCAATCACCGATTTTATGCTCACTTAGACTTGAACCCAAAACTTATCACTTAACACCAAACTATTATTCACCAGGCTAGTAAGTCACTAGAGCTACTCTATGTGTAACGGGTACAATTTTAATGTTACAGCTGACAATTTCTTATCTAAACTGATCCACTGCAGTTGTGCAGTTGTGACAGTAACGTGATACTAAGAACAGTTTGATTACTGTAGAATTAGTTACAGTTGTTATTATTGTTATTTAGGTATTATATCCTCTTAGTGCATATAAGTAGCAGGTATTTCATCTAGGTTCTCCTTTAATGACACATTCTGAGTGAGAAATAATAAGATGAGATGAAATTTAAGGCAAAAAGTGAAAGGTTAAATTGTTTAACTGGCTTACAAAACGAAGCTTAATGACTAGAATGGAAATATGTTTATAAGGGTGCATCTGATCTTTAGTTCACGTTAAAAGTATAGTGCAAAAGAAGGACCTGTTTACAACTCTTTATCTGTAAATATTCAGCTCTTGGTGTAAATCAATATATCTGGTTAATGTAACCAACATTTAAAAATATTGATATTCAGTTCTAAGCCTTCATTTTATTTTCATATACTTCAAGCGGTTGTACACCAGGAACACATCAACAGAATACGAATCACTGGACTACTTCCAAATGAACTTTATGCCTTTCGAATAATTCATTGGTGCAATCCATTGAATCATAGTTATTCAAGTAGTTCAACAGTGTTAATAAAAACTAGTGTACCATTAAAAAGGGGTCCTGAATCAATTTTAAGTAAGTGCAAAAAGTAATTTGTTTAGATGAAATAAATATGATGAATTTGGTACTGTTTAAAAATGTTATTTTCCCATCTGTTTATACATTCGACTATTATTTCAGTTCAAAGATGACGGAAATGAAATATCATTACGTTTTGAATAAGAAATCACTATATGATTACCATATTATTATTTGTGTCTTGAGTTCCTAATGGAATATAAGGCTTCAGCAGCACGTCTCCACTCCAATCTCTTCTCTGAAATCTTTTGAACCTGGCTCCACGACTGCCCGCAAGCTCTCAATTTCTCCCCTCACGATCTCCACCATGTCACCCTCGACACCGACGCCCAAATCGTCACTTCCCATCTGGCTTCCACTCGATCAACTGGCCTGACACGTGATGTCCCCAATCGGCCTTCTCAGTGTATGCCCAATCCAATCCATCTCCACTTCCCGCTATTGCATATTTGTTCAGCGATAGCTTATTGCTTCGTTGGTTCGTCAACAGCCAGCCAGCCAGAGTTCCTTGTTGTTTACTCTCATTGTTCTAGCCATCTGATCTTCAGTAACCAGCCAGCGTAGGTGGCAGTTGTTGATGAATATGTGTAGTTTCAGGCAGATGAACGCCTCTCTTGCTGTCTTTCCGATCCTGGCTGCTTTGACGTCCTCGTCTGTGCCGCCATCGCCTGTAGTTGAAACAGTGCTGCCTAGGAGAGTGGGTGAAGGAGGCTACTTCCTTTAGGTTTCTCCCATTCATGGTGATTGGAGCTTGTTGGTGGTGGTGGTGTTTGTTGGGTATCTTCATCACCTCTGTCTTCTCTATATTCACTTGAAGTCCCGTCTTCGCTGTATAATGCTGTTGATGATAACTTCCAGCCAGCTTAGTATACTGTTGTATTGGATAGCTGGATGTAGTTATCATTTTGTTTGTAGAGGTTGGCTTGAAATGGAAATTCAGACTCAGATTTGAGTTTGAAAGATAGAAGGCTATTAGCCTATAATAATCCTTTTCCAATAGACTTCTGTCTTTATCCAGTCCTCTTTTGAACAACTCAACTGACTGTGTAGATGCCATCTCTTCTGCGAGTCGGTTTTAGGAAATGACATAAGAATCAGTTATCTAAGTAGACTACGTTCATTATTTGCTTCTGTATTCTCCTGCAATGTCTTTTGAGGTGTTCCAACCTAGTGAGAAGGAAAAGAAGAATTCAGTCCAGTACGGAGTCATTTCTTAGAATTGTATGTAGCATGACTAGATCTCCTCCATACCTGCGATAAGACTAAGATCACAGGTTCAGTTCCTTAAGTTGATCTTTGTAGGTCATGGTAGTCTTACTCCCTCCTGTCTTCACTTCAAAAGCATCACTGAGCTTCCCATTGTGAATTACTTTGCATGTGGTGTCTTCATATAGTTGTTGAATGAGATTGATAAAGTGTTATTGCACTCCACAGCGTCGAAGCAACTGTCTGCCAAATTACTTCTCGGTCGATGCCACGATGAAGGCCTTTTTAAAATCTATGAAGTTGAAGTAGAGAGTTGACTGCCATTCTACGTTCTGTTCAATGATGACGCGTAGTGTAGCGTTGCAATTTGACCCGCGCATGATTAGGAATAGTACTGTGTTGTATTTTTGAGCATTTAAATGTCTATTTCCATTCGGTGTAACTGTTTTCCTTCGTTTTGTTCTTAGTCTGAGTTTGAAAAACATTTGGCAAAGTGGTGTGAGATTACATGAGACGTTTAGAAGGAGAAAACGATTCAAAACTGAAGGAGAAGAATTTGATGATATATTGTCGGTGGGAAAAATTGTTGGTAGCCCAAAGTTTAAGCAAGTCGCCTGACTAACCACAATAACATGTTTACCGGTTATCAACACTTTCCTTGACAAGTCGTATTGTTTCACTAAACAATGAAAAGTTCAAATGAACAATAATTCGAGTCAGTTTGTAAAACTTTCACTAACTTATGTCAAAATGAGACATCCGAGTGACCATTAAATGTATCACAGTAATCACATTGATTATTGTATCATCACAATCAATTTCTACCTTATCAAAAGATTTGGCAAACCTTGATGATTTAATGGGTTGCTACTGAGAACTGTTCCACAATATCCTACATTTCATAGACGAATATTCACTGGCACCTTTCTTCATAAACAAGCATTCATTACATACCACCAATACATACCTTGTTTCACCTAGGTATCATGCTTGCTGGCTTTCATCAAAAATGACCTATCTGTAACCATCAAAGACGTGTTCACTAATTTATTTAAACTGTGGTTGACCCTTTGACAAACTGAATTATGTACGTGAGTTGGTCTCTAGTGCGTAGCTGTCTAGACCTTGGTGCTGAGCACTGATCTAACTTGAGACAAATTTGTGTACTACCATTTAAATTTTGTCACTACAACACTGACTACTCAATGAATTTTTATGATCAACAAGTTTAGTTCATCTCATATATTAAGCCAGTAGAATCCTTTGTTTCACATACATCTTCTGGTGTCTACTTCTTCCTTAACACAAGTCATCACTGATATAATCAGTCACAAAACTATGAATTTTAACAGTAGTTCATGAGTTTGACTGGAAACTCCAGTTAAGATACTAATCAAATCAACAAATGGACGTTAGATAAAAGTTGATTAATCATGAGTTAACCACAAATCATTGATCATTTATTGTTCTATTGGTTATTTAAATAGATAGGTTTGAGACCGATTGTTTTCTTCAATAATAAAGATTAGAACATGAATCTTCTAATGAAATGCTTACTGTACAAAATAACCAATATTCAAAATATGTCTGAAGTTGGCTTTCGAACGAAATGAATGTACTGAGAAGCTCTACGTTTTTAAATATGAATCTTCTTAAGCTCGAGAATATACTTAACTTCATAGCACAATCATATAAAGTATTAGGATGAATAACTTGTATCTGGTAACATATTAATGATCATTTCTCATTGTGACAAGTTTTTGCCAATATAACCATTTTATTTCATCCTTCTTAATCTTTTGACTTAAAGGGTTTCCTAGACCATCAGCACCTTATTCGCTACGTTTACAGATAATCCAAGCAGAAAAACATGAAAGTATTCTAACATGGAAAGTTCAAGATAATCTTCAATTTTCAACTGCTGAGTTAACTAGTCAACAGGTTAAAAACATTAGAAGTGCACCAATTTTATATTTTCAAGTTGAATTCACTTTCTGTACATATATCAATCCTCATTTATATGAAGTGACTAATTGCTCTGATAGAGGTAATCATTTTTATACCTGGGAATCATTGGCACCAATTCGTTATCCTAAATTTGTATTTGAAATGAACAACAATAATAAAGTATTAGAATTGACAGACGTTATGAATCTGTATGACAATATAAATTATAGTACTGAAGATGATTCAATCAAAATAGCAATTGAACATATTCATCATGCTTCACGTCTAACTAATTCACTTTATTATTCTTCGATATATGAATTGAGATTTCGTATACGATCGTTTAGTTTAATGTCAGTGAGTGAACCGTCCAATGAGCTGATAATCAAGCATCCACTACTACGTGAGTTTATTGTTATTCAGATAAATTAAACACTTATTCATGTATAACATTTACTGTCTGAGTTTTGATGACTGTTTGTTTTATCCATGTGATCAACTACTGGAGAAACTGAGGCCAGCTTGAAATCATCTAAGCGAAAAAGTTTATTAGATAGGTATTTATCAAGGACCGATATCAGCTGGTAAACCACTAAAAAGCAGAACGCAGTGCTTCTCTTAAAGGTTCTCCAACTGATACCAGTCTGTGATGAATACCATCCTGAAATCAGTAAATAAATCCCCACAAACCTCCGAACTGCATATCTATCGCGTGTTTATTAGTGACTTCTGGAATTTCAAATAAAAATAGTGTTCGAAGGCAAAATTCAAGATGGACATGAAGACTATTACTCAGAAACTCCATTAAATGAAGATCATGCTATATTGCAGAGTGACAAAAGTAAGAGAATGTGGACCACTGGACACCAACTCGATGACTCAGTGACTCAGGTCCTTGGTTCAATCTCTGGTGAGGTCATGATGCGCACTGTTGAGCAGTTCAATACTACGACGAAACGGCTGTCCAAAGCTCACAAGTTTCCGGTGATTCACCAAGTGATATAGCTTCGTGATTTAATACCAACTTAATGTCAATAAATCTACCCCAACAAACCTCAAAATAAAATTGGTTTCTCAGACTATATCTAATTTACTGTTATTGCTTGCATTACACCGTCGTTGATTAGACCAAATTGAACGGTTTCTATTGGCGTATGGGCTCCTGTGAGGATGCCTCAATATTACCTGTGTTCTTAACTATATAGTAATGATGAATAGTGGCTAGCAAAGGAATCCAGGATGCGCATTTTTTCCTATTTGGGACGAATCCCGGTGGGAACAACATCACTCACTGGAAGGTATGTACATCCAGCTGATGAAAAAGGCCTAATCTCGTTTCCAAAACTTTCAGCGCGTCCATATCACACATACAACAAAAGTGATTCATCACAAATACTTCGGACTCTTCAAAAGTTATATAACCAATAGAAGTGAAAGCATGATAAACTGCTGGAATATAGAAATGAAGTTGTGCAACCCTTTAGTATGATTTTAGGTGATAAATTGTGCTGGAAACGTCAGTCTGTAAATAACAGCCTGCCACTATATGTGTTATATGAAATAACTAGTCCAATATGCTTTCACATTCATGTTATGAATGTATCGAAACATCACTTAACTTTTCTTATTGGGGTGATAATTTGCATTCTCACTTTTACCATCTAAATTTTTACATAACTGTTAGGATTTAATTTGTTATTGTTTGTTACGAATGTGGCTATTTCGTTGTATAAATCGATGGTGTATCTTTTTTTTGTTTCTACCTCGAATACGGTGTAGCACGACGTAACACTAGTCCCAAATATATATAATTGTATCGATAAAGTGTAAAGCATTATGTAATTCCCAATTATAAGTCAAAGCTTAGTTGGCTGTTTATCATTTTGACTCTCTGAAAAAGCTGCAGTTTGACAGACTAGTATTGGTACTGGGTGATGATTGAAGGTGAAATAAAAATTTGGATTGTGGTCGGATTCGAACTAGTAGCCATCAGGTTTCTGGTAGTTAGTGCAGTTAGTATAAACAAACGATGAAAGTAATGAGAACAGAGAAAGAGAATAAGTATTATTTCTGTGGAAACGAGGTCGCATATCATACATTTCTGTTATAGATACTGAACAGTCTAGTCTACTTGGTCACTACTCATTAGGACTTTCAAAAATCTCATCTGGAAGCAAGTCAACTGTGAGCACTGAACACTGATTCGGTTTTTAGTTTTGTGGGGATTTATTGACTTCAGTGCAGTAAGGAACTGTGAACTTTTGAACTGCGATCAAATACATGAACATTTAACATGGTATCCAAAAGATTTGAAGGTTTTGAGTTCAGTCTCCGGTGTGGTCATGTGTGCCTATCAATGAGGAGTTGCATAAGAGAACGAAATAACTATTCAGTGCTCTCAGTTTTCTATGATTCTCTAACTGATGTCCGAATGTAATGAGTACCACCTTCAAACAAACAAATCACAACAAACTGGTAGATTGACTAGAGAAGTATTGTCAAATGGGTTAAAAACAAGTCCAGAAATGCTGTTGCTGATGCATGCAGCGGTTGTTTGAAATAGTAAGAAGAATATGGTCAAAACAATGCGATTTTGAGTTATGTTTCTCTCCACTTTCTAGTTGTTAACATACTTAATTTTTTGATACTTGTATTTTCCCGTTGCTAAGCGCTCCTATGCAGATACCTTGATACTCCTCGTGATATTAATGTTGTATTATGCATTAGAATCCAAACCTCACATTTCATCCTGTTTGGGATTCGTCAGCTGAGTGAATCTGTACTCCAGCGAAAGATGGTGTTCCCACTGAGACTCGAACCCAGGACCCATGACCATTATCCACTAAACCACTGGGGTACGAGTGCTAACTTTTCTCCAACGGTTTGCTGATGCTTGTAATTTCTAGTTGCCATACTGGATTATAATCATCAATAAACAGCAGTTGACACCGATTTCATAGAACGTGGCTGTCATGTCCCAGCTGCCTAGAGAGTTGCACTTTGGCATTTGAGGTGATTGGGGATAGGTTTGGTTTTGGCGAAACGCCCATCCTGGATTCTACTGCCAGCCACGAAGTAAGCTACAAAATACTTAGCATTTCAATGCACAGTAAGAAATAGTAAGATAAACTCCGTTTTCTCATCAAAGAGATTATTTATTTCAAATAAAACTCTTCTTTTCTGTGACGTATTCACAAAAGATACTAAAAGCCGCTTTAAAAAACAACCATCGTCTTCAATGGTTCTAAGCATAGTTTAGTCTGAGGATAATTTCATAATCTACCGGAAAATGACTAAATGATATCTTAGTGTATAATGCTTTGGAATTTTTGGATAAGGTTGTTTCAACGCATTTATAAGCGCTATCATCAAATGAAGTAGGAATGTAGTAATCGAATTTTCATGCAAAGTTTCTAAAACATTTGTCTAGTAACATGCCTTTTGATTTTCTTTATAACCTATCTTTTCTGTCATCATTGACAAAGATGGCATATCTCGTTAATTGTATTTCTTTCTACATTACAGCCTCAGTTTTAAATGCACTCAATCAGACACTTCAACATGAACATTATCTTATATACAAAATAATTCATCAAATCAAGCATGAATCTATTCATCGACATAGTCAACATGATTCTTCTATCCTATTGAATAGTAGTAAATGTAAAATGTTACAAAACAATACACTATTATTCGATAATACTTACTTAAGATATAAACAAATTCAAATGTATTGGTATATTTGTTGCATAGTAATGATTTTAGGAATTGTTGTTCTGTTATTACTTTGTTGTTTAATACCACGTAAAATATACCGACAATGTAAACAAAACTCATTAAAACAGAAGCAGATAAACACTGATACTATAAGTACATTACCAGAATATCCATTAGTATCGAATTCAAATCATCTGCCACGAAAACATTTAGTAAGTTATACATCTAATGAAAATGTCTTTAATAATCATTGTCAAATCAATGATACAACATTTTTATCCTGTTCACCGAATTATTTATGGACTAATTCAGAGTATATAGTCAATAAGATTCAAGAAAAAAGAAGACCAGATATTGTCAACACTTGTGATACCTGCATTATTCATAGTTATTATAAAAATAATGATGAAGATACACATCAATATACGAAACAATTATGCGACGAAAAAAACTCGTTTCATACTGTTGTAAATAGCCCAATGGTTTGTTTAACAAAATCAACAGATGAAGGTTGTGGTCAAATCTACTTCTTGCTGCCCACTTATAATAATGATAATAATAACAATAATATGGGATGCTCTTCACCTAACACATTATGTAAGCAACAGATGAATATTATTCAACATCCTAATGTATATAATTCTTGGAATAGAAAAGAAATACGAGATGCAATTGATGAACATTCCAAAGGTAAGAAATATGACTGCATATTGTAGTGCTAAAGAGACCCAGTGCACTGCATGTTGTTTTTTATTGCATGCGAGCTAGGTTGGATTATCCTTGGTTCTTTGAGTTATATGATGTCTCACATAAGTGGGTAATGGCTTGATGTGACGAACAGAAAATTGGCAATAAAATCCTTCCGTATGACTAGGGCTTCAATAAACTAAAGTATAGTCTTGACGGCTCCCATTTAATGGTCTAAAGGATGTTTCATCGGTCAATCCTATGACGTGTTTACTTATAGGCAATGATGTTAGCCTTCCCGTTGTGTTTATCTGACTACTGAAATGTAATTGTCTTTCAAGCCGTTGAAGGATATGTTCCACCGTCTTTGACTTCATAGATCGACTGGTCTTCCCAGTGTATATGTCACCATACACACACACACACAAGCACACATACTGGAGCCGACGCATTCATCTGTGTAGTGATGAGGTTTATTTTAAAGCATGGGTGTTTCTCTCTACAATACTTAGACCGGCTGCATGACATATTGTTTTCATCACTTGATTAAGCCTTCATCTTAAGGTCATACGATAGCATGACGTAAATATCCTTTTCACTGGGAAGTTCAAAACGCTGAGATGCTTTTATACAGTACTGTCTCTGTTACAAATTTGATGAGCGAAAGTTCAACCATCCTCTGCGTATTAAAAAACAGATTGTACTTACCTTAAACCATAGGTTTTATGAAAACCTATTATTTATTATTTTTTTTCCCTTGGGTTCTTAATGGAAAATAGGCCTTCAGTAGCACGTCTCCATTCAACTCCGTTCTCTGAAATATTTTCAACCTCGCTCCATGACTGCCCACTAAATTTCATTTTCTCCTCACATGATCTCCTGTTTGCCACTCTCAGCTCGGACGTCCAACTCATCGTTTCCCCATTCGGATTCCTTTCGACAGCATGGTGCATAATATCCTCACTCGGCCATCTCAGTGTATGCTCGATCCAGTCAAATCCATATCCACTTCCTGATAATGCACACTTGTTGAGTGACAGATTATTCGTTGGTTCACTGACAGTCAGCCAGTCAGAGTTCCTTGGTGCTTATTCTTGTCATTCTGGCCATTTGATCTTCACTATCAACTGATCGTAGGTGGTAGCTGTTGATGAATGTCCATAGTTTGTTGGAAGTGCTTCTCGTGACACGCCTAGCTTCTCAACCATCTCACGGAAGCACTGACTTGACTGAAGTGGTGTTGAAAATTCGGATGTTGTTCACGCTTTGTGCTGAATGTAGTGCAGTAGATATCCACACTGACTATTTCAGGTTGATGAAAGCCTGTCTCCCTCGCGTGTACAATCCCGCTTTCAACACCCTCATCTGTGCAGCCAACACCGCCTGTAGTCGAAACGATGCTGCCTAATCAGGTAGGTGAAATAGACTACTCCCTTTAGGTTTCTCCCATTGATGGTGATTGGAGCCTTCTGTTGTTGGTGGTGATGTTTGTTGGATATCTTCATCAACTCTGTCTTCCATACGCTCACTTGGAGTCCCGTCTTCGCTGCTTAACCCTGCCCTGCCCTACCTCTTCTGTCAACTTGTTAGTTTTCACCTGTACATCTTCCAGTTTGTGTGACATCAGACACAAGTCATCATTGGTGAAATCCAAATCTGCGAGGTTCTTTACCTCAGTCCAGCTGCCGAATACCCCTCTCCTCACTCCTCACTCCTCACTGTTGTCTGCTGCACGATCCAATCCAGTCCAGTCCACTAGACCACAATCAGGAATATCATGGGTGATAGTAGACAGCCTTGTCTTACTCCGTCCTGTCTTCACTTCGAAAGCATCACTGAGCTTCCCATTGTGAATTACTTGGCTGGCATGTGGCGTCTTCATATAGTTGTTGAATTAGGTTGATGAAGATTTGTGGCAGTCCTATATATCTTGACCAGTAAATGTGCGATCACATTGTTCGAAATGTATTGTGTCGAAACGTAACATTTCTCAAATAAACTCCATCTTCTCGTCAAAGAGATTATTTGTTTCAAATAAGACTCTTCTTTTCACCTAAAGATTATTGTGATTACTGTGACATTAACAAAAGATGACAAGTCGAATCGATTTATAACTCAGTTGAACTTTTATCTTGTTTTCAGCTTTTTTCTATGATACAATTTCAAAATATTTGATAAATACTTTTGGTTCAGTTCAGTTATATATTTTTAACAAAAGCGTTTAGAACGAAGTGAATTTATTTCACTCCCTGTTTACTCGAAATCTGTCACCTATGTGCTGATTTCAATCTTGAATACAATTCATAAGGATCTTCACAAACTTTAAGCAGTAATTAATCCAACGTAACGCTGCCGTATTATTATTTTTATCTGTCCCTTGGGTTCCTTGAAAGGTAACACTGTAGATGTTTTGAATTATCTCTTCATAGTGTTGCCATTATTATTACTAATATTACAAAACAGGAACGAATTAGAGCTATATATACCATGTTTCGAAGTTGTGGAGTTATCTATCTTTAAATGACTATGGAAAATGTCTGGTGTTTGAAACGGAACCTGATAAGTAATACTGTTTACATGTATGAAGCATCTCATGAGTCAGATGATCAATCACTTCTAAAGTTTTATTACTCATCTCTTTTATTGAACTTTACACAGTGTGATTTTTCCTCCCCTCCATCAGCTAACTGTTTGGAGGAAAAACTAATTTTATTGTGAAATAATCTTTCTATACGACTCTTTTTAAGTGGAATGTAGTAATAGTTATTGACTAAAAGATAATGAACACTTCATGAAGGTTGAATGTGACAGTCTCGGTCTCAACTTTCACATACATATCGTCTAAATATCTTAGATAAAAGTTTGCCTATCTTGTCACATCAGTTGGTTCAGGATTCTGGTGGTGGGTTTAAAATATTTTTTTTTTTGCCGAAAAGGACTTTTCATAAAATAAACCTTTAAACTGAAATCGTATATTTTTCATTCATAAAAAAATAATGTATCTTACGACTTGTCAAAAAGAATGCCCAATCTACTAACGCACCTTAATACAATATTCATTGAAGTTGGATACTGACAAATAAAGGTTTGACATCTAAGGAAACTAAGTTTTTACCACCTATATTATTAAACTCAACTCCATAGATCAGTTAAGATACCACTATTATAATAATTAGTTGTAAAGTGTTTTTCTTAATAAGCCAACTATCTTTGAAAACTAATCTCATTTCTTTAGCATAAACATACTAAAACCTTTTACAGTTCTCATTAATATGATTTTGTTTTCCATCATCAATTTGCTAAAGATATATGTGTTCACTTCAGGAGAAAAAATTCTTATGAGAACTGATGCAATGGAATATTAGTTGTCAATGTCCACATTTCTATCTCGAAGTCAATTCCATATGTATACTAATCTTCAGACAACTATTTACTGTAGGGCTTAATGTCTACCAGATAAGCAGTATTATAATTTGATTATCTCTTTCAATCAATCAATACATACCTTTCACCTATTCTACCGCATTACCACTTGTTTTGTATCTCTAGTCACAGTTTGAAGGCAAACAAATCACTTTTATTGTTTATCAAATTGAAATAAAACAATTTTGATATATTTTGTAAGTATTTTTCACAATATACGTCCACCACTTGGCTGCGCTGTCACTGTATTCTATGGAAGTATTTATCGAAATATCTTCATGTATTCTGTCTGTGTAGTGTCTATTCAAGATCATTTTGCTGATACGTTAAGATATGTATGATAAAATATTGATTTATACTAGATATAAGAGTTATATGAAGCTCACTACAATCAAGTTTCGTTAACATGGTTCTCATCTCACTAGTGTATATATCACAGATCCTAGGCTAACATAACTATGACGCTTGAGGTATCATATACTGCGTAGTGATTTGAAATTTTCACATGGTTATAAAAAAAATTCATTTTTCTTTCCTGTTGTTGTTGTTGGTTTCCTGTCCTATCTGACGTTCACACTTTACAGATTAAATGTGGGATAGTTAAGAAGCGAACACAAAACAACCCGGGCAACATAGTTTGTTCGGTCTACATGAATATGTTGAATATTTATCCTTTTTCCACTTACAGTGTATCCGCATGGTGAAAATTATTGAGGTTTGTGGAGAATTATTGAATTGAAAGTGATTTTCATCACTAACTAACATAAGTTTTCAATGGTTCTCCGACTGATATCAGTCCATGATGGATTCCTCCACAATGCAAATTATCTTACTACCTTCAGGTTATTCCACACACATGAAGCCTTCTCGGTTTTTCAAAGGTCCATACCTAATCTAATGACGATAAAGCGTTTATTCCCCTCAGCTTTATTAAAGAGTAATAAACTGTATTTCTGAACATCATAAGTCTACTCTAGGAAAAAGATGGTGATAATGCTTTGATGTCCTGAAAGTTTCTGTATTCTGTTGGCAAAACATTAAACTTCAGAGGAAATCTAACTGTCGTTGTACCTGTCATGAGCTACAATGTCTTTCCATCATTTAAATATAGATGAAATTGATCAGAATTTAGTCAGTCCATTCAAGTAATTATTTGAATACGCTTATCAGACTTTGGGAACACCGTATGTTTTGCGGCAGTTTTTGGCTACTTTAGCTGTGACCACATAAAGTTGGTTGAAAACTGATAATAGAGGAGTGCTTACTGATCGCATAGTCATTACCATAGGTTACTTGGAATTGTTTGTATAGCCACTATCTAAGAACGCGTTTAGTTCCATACTGAAAAGCTTGACCTTTAAATATAAATGTTGTTGATTAAATTAAGAGAGATGGGCTGACCACTTCAAAAAAACTCTTGAATCGATCACGACCACCACCACCACCTGCACTTCGTCCAGAAATAAAACCTGCAGCCACAGAACTACAATTAAACACAAATCCCCCAACAAAAGTCGAAGACCTGAATGCCACAAAGCTGCTGAAATGTAGGGAAGGCAGTAGGACTAGAAAGAATCTTGCCAGAAGCAATGAGAACAGACGCGAGGACAACAGCTGATATGCTCACACCACACCACTATTGCAGAAGGTGTGGAAGGAAGGGAAGGTATCTGGCCATTGATTGGAAGAAGGGTTACCTTGTCAAACTCCCGAAGAAGGGAGACCTCGGTGTTTGCAAGAACTGGTACGGAATCATGCCCCACTCCTGTCCACCCAGACCAAGCAAAATATTAAGCCTCATCATCCCGGAGAGACTAAAGGATGCGCTAGATTCAAAACTACGACCGGAACATGCTGGTTGGATTCAGCATAAACAAATCATGTGCCGGCCAAGTTGCAACGCTACACTACGCATCATCATTGAACGGAGTATAGAATAACAGTCAGCTCAACTCTAAATCAACTTCATCGACTTTGAGAAGGCCTTCGACAGCGTCGACCGAGAGGTAATTTAGCAGGCAGTTGCTTCAACACTACGGAATACCACAAACATTTATCAATCTCATTCAACAACTATGTGAAGACGCCACATGCCAGCCAAGTAATTCGCAATGGAAAGCTCAGTGATGCTTTCGAAGTGAAGACAGGACGGAGTAAGACAAGGCTGTCTACTATCACCCATGATATTCCTGATTGTGGTCTAGTGGACTGGACTGGATTGGATCATGCAGCAGACAACAGTGAGGAGTGAGGAGTGAGGAGAGGGGAATACGCCAGCTGGACTGTGGAAAAGAACCTAGAAGACTTGGATTTCGCCAATGATGACTTGTGTCTGATGTCACACAAACTGGAAGATGTACAGGTGAAAACTAACAAGTTGACAGAAGAGGCAGGGCAGGGCAGGGTTGGGCAGCGAAGACGGGACTCCAAGTGAGCGTAAGGAAGACAGAGTTGTTGAAGATACCCAACCAACACCAACAACAACAACAACAGAAGGCTCCAATCACCATCAATGGGAGAAACCTAAAGGGAGTAGTCTATTTCACCTAAGTGATTAGGCAGCATCGTTTCGACTACAGGCGGTGTTGGCTGCACAGATGAGGGTGTTGAAAGCGGGATTGTACACGCAAGCGAGACAGGCTTTCATCAATCTGAAATAGTCAGTGTGGATATCTACTGCACTACATTCAGCACAAAGCCTGAACGACATCCGAATTTTCAACACCACTTCAGTGAAGTCAGTGCTTCCGTGAGATGGTTGAGAAGTTAGGCGTGTCACGAAAAGCACTTCCAACAAACTATAGACATTCATCAACAGCTACCACCTCCGATCAGTGGATAGTGAAGATCAAATGGCCAGAATGACGAGAATAAGCACCAAGGAACTCTGGCTGGCTGACTGTCAGTGAACCAACGAATAATCTGTCACTCAACAAGTGTGCATTATCAGGAAGTGGAGATGGATTTGACTGGATCGAGCATACACTGAGATGGCCGAGTGAGGACATTATGCACCATGCCGTCGAATGGAATCCGAATGGGGAAACGATGAGTTGGGCGTCGGTGCTGAGGTGGCAAGCAGGAGATCATGTGAGGAGAAAATGAAATTTAGTGGGCAGTCATGGAGCGAGGTTGAAAATATTTCAGAGAGCGGAGTTGAATGTAGACGTGCTCTTGAAGGCCTATGTTTTACTAGGAACCCAAGGGACAGATAATTATATTATAGCAAACTATTAGACCATATCTGTTCAGAAAAACATGTTTAATACGAGGCCTCTAGGATTTACTCAAACCAGCCATCGCAGTACTTGCTACCTATATTTTACTTAATCACTGTTGTGTTCGCTTATGCACCTTCTGTTCTGTTTTAGGTAACAACCGTGTTGCATTGATGCCGACCTTACTGAGGTGAGTACTACCCACCTGTCACATATTGTACCACTTTCATTTGATGTAATAATCTGTGATTCCTGTCCTGAGAATTTTTTAAAATTCAGATTTAGAGATGTAATTCACAATGAAATAACAATGCATAGAACTTTTTCTGCTTATAGATTTACAAGCATAACTTTATAGATATGTTTTGGTAGGACTATTTCGTCAGCTTGCGTGAAATCTATGCCATTTCACCGAACGCTGCTGTCAAAATATTCTCATTAAAAAGTGTAAGGTTTTCGTAATCATTACTATACGGCTGATCATACCATATCGCCATTTCTGTTACATACCAAATAGAATAGATGACGTACAATCTTAACCAGGTCACTGTAAAATAGGAGGAAGTGATAAAACTTCCACGGCATTGATGCTCATTACAGTCTACTACACTTCCCAGAGGTATACGCATGATTATTTACAAGGCTTTGCTAACAAACGAACAGAATGATCCTTTTCCATATAGATGAAAGCTTTATCATCCTGAATTCAATCAGACATTTCAAATAAAATAATCAACAAATGAACGCTGTACAAAACATCCGTCTTTTAGTGTAAACAAAAACTTCAACGACAAAGTCACTGACTAAAAGTAGATTGAAGGATAGCAGACGGCTAGTTGAACAGACTGAAGAGCAAAATATGAATGATTATAGCACAGACTTGATACAGCCATGGAGACAGTTCGTACAAGGTATAACATAAAAGTTTTACAAAGTGTTATCGAGCTAAATCAATGGAATTTTGAGGGGTTGTGGAGATTTGGAATTATTTCAAGTTGTTATTCATCGTAGACTGACATCAGTTGGAGGAACAAAGGAAACCTGGGAGCACTGGACAGCTATTTCGTCCTAGTATGGGACTCCTCAGCAGTGCGCACCCACGACTCCACCAGCAGGGATAGAACCCGCAACCTTCAGGTTTCGCGGCCAGCGCGTTACCATTGAGCCACTGAGTCAGAATCCAATGCTCCATATTTCCAACTTCTGTTAGCTCACGATATAGCGCAGACCGCCACCCAATGTCATCGTTGAGTATTTGTCCTCACGGCCATCAGGCTTTGACTCCACCGGTCACGACCAACCATTCCTTTGTTCCTCCAACTGATGTCAGTCTTCGATGAATAACAACTTGAAATAAATCAATGGAATTAATTTTGTTTAAACTATTCGTTTTATTTCCAATTGTTGTAGAGCGGATCATTTCAATTCCACTGAACAGTCATTAACCAAAAATTCTTTAGACGAACAAAATAGCATATCATCATGTAAATGTGTACAGTCAACATATTCAACAATGTATCCATCATATTTAAAGTGTGTATCAACGGAATCAACTGATACATCGTTAAAATGCTCACATAATACAACATTTCAAAAATTTTATTGTACAGAACAAAAATAACAAATTACTTACAGATTATCAAACTGTCTGGCAACATCATCAGAGTAAATAACACTTGTTACAACCAACAAATAGATCTCCTTACACATGAATTTATTGTACAAGTATATCTATTGAACACAGTTTTTTCATGCTCAATAATGAGGATGTTTCCTCATTTATTTCCCATTGTTCTCCTACATAAATATTTTTTTTTAATGGTTTCCTTTGTAAAATATTATCATGACCAGATTTCTATAGTTTATTTCTAATGATTTGTATTTGTAAACTGTAACATTAAAATGGGTATGTATAGATGGCTTTCTAGCTGCGGTTATCAGAAGGATTCCAATTTAAACTGGATTTATCCTCTTAAGATTGACTTACAATTTTATTTGAGCATTCTCATGCGTAACTAAAGCACTAAGATATTAAACAGTCAACGAAACTAATTTAAATAAGTTTGGAGGATACATTTCAATTGAAGGTATTTCTTATCCAGGGTGCATAAGCATTTCAACTTTAGTGAGTAGTACAAAATTCTAGTTCATTTTCAAACAAGTGTATATCAAAGCTTAGGTAGCCAATATCTTCAGCAGCTGATTATACCATCTTTTTGACGACCTTATGTTTTTCAGTTGATACATTTTCTGATAACCTGTAGAAGGTTAGCTTACATATGATTGGTTTGACCGGCTAACTACATCTACTGATTATATATACCTTAGTAGTGGAAAGGAGAGGAATGCCTATTTCTTAAAATTAGAACCGGTATACATAGTTTGAAACAATGAATTCAGTTATTTTAGATACTAAACGTAACAGAAAATTGAAAATAGCTGACGCTATGTCTCAAGAAAAAATATGCACTTCAGAGTATTTTGGTGAAGTCATAATAGCATTATCATTCACTTTCCCATGTGAAATAAAATACGCTAACAGTAAAATGCACAAAGGACTGCACTTTGATGAAATTTTGAACTACAACATCAGTCATCCGCCAGTTCATGAAATATCTTGAGTGCAAACGCTATTCTCAAGAGTCAAAATACACAGCAACATTGAAGCATAATAGGAAATGTTCTAAAGCACTGAATATTCACTCAACTTCATTAAAAATTGTTTATCAACGGGACAGAAGATGACAGGCCAATTATATGAAATCAATAAATGAGCTAGGCTACCCTAAATCAACCATGTCTCAGAAACGGTCTACCGTTTTGCTTCATGCTTTTGGGATTGGAATGGTGAAAGAGCCAACAAAACCACTTCAGAGCATATCAAGCAAGTTAAAGAATTTGTTGCCAAAGGAAAATTCAACAACTATCATCCATAAAACCAAACGAGATCATTCACAGCACTATCTTGGTCAGTCTAGCCACCAGTTGCTCAGAAAATTCATCAACATCAACTAATGGTAAAGCGCTATGACTAAGCCTACTTGATTTCACTGCACACACAAGTTGAAGTGACAGAATGTGGAAATCCTTCAAGTTTCAGGTATGAAAGCTGTAAGGAAATTTCTAGAAGCATAGAAGTTCAACAAAAAATTAGTCAAGAGACAAGTGTATATAAATCCAATCTATAATTTACTCAGAAAGGAAATAGCTATTCATCAGTTAAGTGTGAATCGACCACAACAGATCAATAATGATGTACACTGTGATAATAACACATAGCACAGTTCACTCTGATAAAAATTCTTTACCGGAGTGATAATGGGAAATTTAAGGTTAAATTAGATCTCCAACTTAAAACTGTATAACATCCTAATTCAATAAAAACACTTTCCTAAAAATTCGTGTAACACTTGAATATGGTTCACTTCTTTATGAAGTTAGTACTGAGAATATCACCAAGCCTGATAATGAGACGTCCACAACAAAACGAAACTTGTAACCATTACTCAAACGAAATCATGTAATCGTAAGTGGATTCCATATAACAGGATAAGCAGAATATATCCCTTAAAGATTATTTCTACGACGCATAATAACCATTAACAAGGAATCCTTTTCTACTATGAAAATTCTGGGAAGTTTTACGAAGAGAACGAGTCTCTGTTTATAACAGAAATTTCGATCTATGGATGAAAGGAATACTGATATTCTCCACTAGCATGAGAAATCAGTTGTCTGCATTACAGACGTTGAACAAGTTAACTAAGCTACTGCTAGTGTAAAACCTATCAAATTCAGTGTTATTGCGTGAATGACACCGTCGTTGATTGGACCGAATTGATCAGTCTCTGTTGGTACATGGGTTCCTGTTCGGATGCCTTGATATTGTCTGTGTTTTAATTATGTATAGTAATGATGGGCAGTGGCTAGCAATGGAATCCAGGATGCGCATTTCGTCCTATTTGGGACTCGTAAGCTGGATGTACCTGCCTCCCAGTGAGTGATGTTGTTCCCAATGGGACTCGGGAGCTATCGCTTCAAACGCCAGGACATTGTCCACTATACCAACGAGCCGCGATCAATTCGCTCCAGGCAACGATGGTGTCTTACGAGCAATAACACTAAAACTATACCCGTCGCATAACAAGTGGCTATCGTGGCTTAGTGGCGTAGTGGATAACGCCCTGGTGTTTGAAGCGATCGCTCTCAAGTCCCGGTGGGAACAACATCACTCACTGGGAGGCAGGTACACACAACTGACGAGTCCCAAATAGGAAGAAATGCGCACCCTGGATTCCACTGCTAGCCACTGCCCATCATTACTATCAAATCCTGAAGTCCAGGAGGTGGCCTGCTTGAACTCTGGGCTACCGTTTTCTATCATCAAGTATATTGCATCAAATTTCTATATTGTTTTAATCGTTTAATTATGTCAACCAATCGTATTGTATATTCTCGCGCGTTTTTAAAATCATTACAACCTATCGCTTCGCAAGTTGAGAAGAAGCACCACGGTGGATGGCAACGAGCTCTGAAGCGTATAACCACAGATCAAATGACTATTCCGGAAATACTTAGCACAAACTGCAGGTCGTTGCAGAATGAAGTTGATTACCTTCAGTCACTCTTGTCCACAAATGTTTATCGAAGCACTGGTGTAATAATGCTGCAGGAAACATGGCTTCATAATCTGCATGATAATGACTTAGTGTGCTTAGATGGTTTCAAATTATTTCGACAAGATCGAAGCTTTTCGAAGAAGAAATGTGGTGGTGGTGTAGCAACATTTATTAGTACTAACTGGTCCTCCTCCAACTATGTATGCTTCTGCTTCTCTGACGAAAAAATTGAGTGCATTACCATCAAACATCGTCCCAAACATTTGAGCAAATACAAATACATATATATCACAAACATGTATGTCACACCTGACTGCAGTTTCTCAGATTTGTCAACTTTTGCTGATAAATTCACTGAATTTGCTGCTCCAGTTCTGGGAAACTTCTTGTCTGTTGTCTGTGATGATTTTAACTCATGTGACTACAGTTTTCTATTATCATTGGGTCATAAAAATATGGTTAACTTTTCCACTCGTCTTGACAACACCTTAGACTTTGCATTTACAAATGAACCTGGCATATATGAAGCCCTAAACGGGCTCCACTGCTTAATTACGACCACTGTATTGTTTGTGTTTTGCTTAAAGTGTACGGAAAATTATACGAGAAAGCCTTGCATACCTTTCAAGGAAAGTTCAATACAGATGCTATTCACAAGAAAATATATTACGTTTGAGAAGCATGCTTATAGAAACAGACTGGGATATATTTGCTGATGAAGTTTTAGACAACACTGTTCCCAATATCACAAGCTATCTCAGATTCTGTCTCGATATCTGCTGCCCTACTGAAACAATTTACATGACATTTAACAGACTTTCCCCCCCCCTCATCTCAAGAGGCTCCCGAGAGAATAGGAAAGGTTGTATAAGGCGAGAGATCACCCTGGCGTTAAAAGGCTTAACTGTCTAATTAAGTCTGAAATACGACGTCTGAATACTATGTACAACCAGAAGTTCTTATTGTGTAAGAACTCTTCCAAACTAATTTTATCAAGTATGCTGACGACCTGATGATTTCTATTCCAGTCAACTCTTCTTTGGATTGCTTAAAATTAAATGAATTCTTGTCTAAAGTTGGTAAATGGTCTCTCTCAAATGGTCTCAAACTAAACCCTTCTAAACGTCAGACCGTTAATTTTAGCCTCAGGCGCAAACAAGACTTATGTGAGCTGCTTAAATCTCATGACGCCTGCTGCATCAATGGTATTTCTGCAGAAAGTAAATCGAGTGTGAACTATCTTGAGTTGTGTTTTACTTCTGACCTTTGTTGGTCGTTCCATATTTTGTTGATTTGTATAAAAATCTTTCGTTTAACTTATTACGTAAAGAAATTGAGGCTTTCTGGTATAACTCAACTGCTTCTTTTACAATTTATTAATTCCTGCATTTTACCTATTCTTCTATATTGTTCCCCATTCATCTTTCCTGGTCTTCTTAAAAAGGACTATGTTATGTTGCATAGGGCTTTGAAGACCGTCAGCAAGGTGAGTTGTGTGTCTCTGGCTCAACTGATTAACACTGTAGTTGATCGACATATAAATTCCTGCAAGCTACTAGCTATAGAAATTTTAACTGACAGTGAGCATCCAATTCATTTACAGCTCTCTCCATATATCTCCTCAGGGAGGACAAGGAGAAATTACATAAGACTTTATGCTCGTACAGCTAAGTATAAGAATTCGACTGTACCTGACTTTGCACGTATATTTTGTGAGGAAAAAAGTGTTAGAACATAAATCCCACATCAACTTTGTAACAGTTAAAAATCTCATTTCAATAATTCAATTTACAATGCAAAATTTTCTCGTTTTTAATATTCTTCACATAACTTAAATTTTTATAATAAAACAATTTGAAATGTTGTAAAGGAGTATGTATATACGTATATTTTGTTGTTATTGCAATGTATATTACGCTGAGAATTCCAAATTGTACCACAAATTGTTTTGGAATAAAGTGAATTATTATTATTATTATTATTACTAAATATCAGACTACACTGGTAAATCATAAAATGTTTTGTCAGCTAATGGTTGAAATTGCAGCACTTTCCCTGAACAATTAAGTTAAGTGGAAGTTTGTCAGAGACAAATGTATTGAAACAACTATTTATCTTTAATCAGTTTTCAGTCAGTTTTTATAGTTTTATTTATGTATGAAATACATCTAGTGACTTGTCATATAATCTATGGGATGGGAAAGCAGTTTCCTGAACTTTAATTATCATCCAGATTACACTTATATGATCATAGG